AAAGGTGAAGTGTTGCTGAAAATTTTTTCCATAGGAGATTTTGAGCAGTCTTGGGAAATCTATTATATCTTGGTGTAGAAAAATCTGAATTGAGTTCTGTTTATTGCATTTGAAATTAGACTCATAACTCTTTTAACGGTGTAGAAATTCATGGTTTGATTCACTTTCTATAAATACCAGCAAAATTTCAAAATAGACTGAAAATCCAAGACTGTCCCGTTTTGCACTTAGTTAAGCAGTGAATTGAGGTTGAAATTTGACTAATTTATGGGTTGAATTTTATGAAGGTGTCTTTTAGAGAGTTACAATCTTTTAGTCTATTTTCTAACGGTATAATATTTATGATATTTGGACTTACGAAACTCAAGTTATGAATTTTCAAAGAGCATTACAAAAACTGAAATTTTTCTTATGAAATAACAAAAAGCTTGGAAGGGTCTTGGAAACATTTTTTGGTTTTTAAACCTAACTTTCTCGATTACTTGTACTCCATTTCATACTTGGATCATGGATTTATTATGTATATGAGTTATCTCTTTACTTGAATAAGAAAACTTGATGTTTTGGATCAAGAGCTGGAGGTTTAAATCTTGAAAGTTATTAGCCCTTTTAAATGTATTTTTAGTGGTGAACTCTCATGGTTCACTTAAGCATCAATTTGATCTCAAGATTTGGAAGTGATAGTTTTTGCATTTTAAAAGTGAAATGAGGAGTTTTTCTTGAATCTTATTTGCTAGAAATTTTGGAATTGTTGGACCATAATATTTTTATCTTGGTTGTTCTTAGGGTTTGTCGGTGAGCACGAGAATAACCCGGGGACGAACTTTTGACAATTACTCTACTGATATCGGTGAGTGTTCCTTGCATGTGTCTGTTTTAAATGACTAGGTGAAATGTTGTTAATGTTATCTAAATGTTAAATGCCTTCCAATGATTGCTAAATGAATTTTCGATGGACGAGTGCGTATTTTATCGCACTCGATCCCAAGCAAAAGTGAATTTTCAATGATTGAATATTACCTGTGCATGAATATAAGCCTTTTGGCTGAATTGGACCATTACCCTTCGTTGCCAATCGACTCGAGCCAGAAGCGGATTCGGTCGGGCTGCTAGTGACCCTAGGAGAATGTTTGATATACTCAAGTATTACCACAAAATCTGGTGGAGAACTGGCTAGTGAATTCAATGCAATGAAATCAATGAATGAATGACATAAACACTGAAGGAGTTTTCACTTGCAAATATTTTCTAATATCGAGGGGATAAGAAAAATAGTTGGTGAATGAATGAATGAATGACTTGAATCAATGGCTCCAAGTGAGCATTTATCCTTTTAATGAATGAATGATTGATTCTTGAATGACTGCTTACTACTGTGCCAAGTGTACAAAGTGATAAATGCAAATGTTTTCGTGTTTTGCCTGTTTGATTGCTTGTTTGGGAATCTCACTGGGTTTTTAGCTCATTCCATCAGTTTGTTTTCCTTATAGGAGTCGAGGCTAGAGCAAGTAAACGTGAACTAGTATGTATAAGTTTCTTGTACTTATACTTTTATGGATTGAATGTATTTGGGATATTTGACAATGTAAAGCTACGGTTCGCTTTTGGCTTGTAAATGACGTCGAATTATGGTTGATTTGAGAATCTTCTATGTTAATTTAGATGCGTGAATTACCATTTTCAAGGATGCTAGTGAGTGAGTCCCGGCGAGAGTTGGGCAGGCAATCCGCCACCCTTGGGTTCGCTCTAGAAGGAGGTGGGGTCGTCACAATTTGGAATCTCAATTTTCATTTTCTATGTTATTTGAATTGCATGCAGTGTTAATTGTGGTGTTTATGTTATCAATTTCACGAAGGGATTCGAAGTGGAGCAAATGGATGCAATTGGAGTAAGTTTCAGAAAAAAAAAATTTTTTTGTCTCTTATGAAGTTTAGATTGCTGATTGTTGTTGCAGATCACTTGCCACGTTTACTTTTCAGTTTGATTCAGCTTGTGAGCGCATCAAGATTGCAATGGAGTTGGTCTTACACCCACAAAGCTTGTGGCACTTTCTTCTAGAATCTTATTTGCAGAGGAGGTGATCAATATTATAGACCTGGGTCCAGGGAAAGTATATACTGGAAATTTTTTTTTTTTTGTGCATATCAGTGGAAAGCGAAAAGATATTTCCTTTAAAAGACATATGACAGAGGAAAGCATTCTGCAAGCATTCCTGATTATTTCTTTGTGGTAATTGATGCAAGTGTTTCTCAGATGATTGGGCGGCTTAAATGGATGCCGCTTCTAGTTTTAAGCTCCAAACATTGTCCCCCTGGAATAGAAGGAACCTTTTTTACAATTTTTCTTCCCATTTTACAATTTTAGATTTGACAACCTTCAACAGTCATTGTATTGTCAATCATATAATGTCATAGATGTCTTGTTCTAAACAATCAAGTTGCAGAGGATCATAAATTAGTGAAAGAAAGAGCTTTTTACTTCTTGACTCCATTTAAGTGTGTTTGATAACTCCATTGAGGATATCGATGCATACTATTCCATATCCAGATTCTGGATTTCCTGTAAAAACATGTTCTAACTAATCATATTTTGCAGTAAGTTCTAAGCTTGAACTTACAATATCAATAGCAAAATCCGTCATTCTCCAATCTCTCAACCTACTTTTGAGATTCAAACAAAAGAGTTAACAGCAATCATACTTCTGAGATTCAGTAGATAAATTGATCAATACTTGAAGCAATGAACTAACATGAAGATGCACAAAGTATTTGACTTCATTAAGTAACATCTTTTTCTAATTCTACATTAATGAAGAAACAGTCAATTATTGCATTTTCCTAAGTTACAATCTTCAAGAATTTGTGTATCTGAGAGAGATTGAATTCTAAAACCTATTGCTTCTCACATGTAATTTATTATGATGATGCAACAAATTTTGGAAATTCACATCATGCCAAGATTTCCAAGTCACACTAGGCTCGCAAGCCATGAAACAGGAAAATTCACAAATGCCAAGAATACCATACCTCTTACGCAAAATCTAGAAATGAAATGGTTAATAAGGAGACAAAATTGAGTTGGATTGGCAAAGGTTATATGCCTGCTTGGATTTGCTAACATGTGCCACATTATCATACTTCGATTTCCTGCATTTTCGCCTGTCATGTTCGAAGTAACTGCCAGAAAATGCCTCTTAAGTACACCCAAAAAGTTGCAAGCCATTGCAAGCCAAAAAATCCTTATTTCATGGCCACAGTTGAAACATAGAATTGTAGTTTAACTTTGACCAGTACACTTATGAAACACTATATTTCAGGTCAAATTACACTAAAAAAGTAATTAAAGCATGTTCTGAGGACAAGAAAATATGAATACTTGCAGTTTTTGCATTGTCTTCGTTTTCGCTTATGCTTGGATTTTTTCACCTTTTGTCCCTTTGTTGCAGCAATAACTGGATCACCTATATCAAATTCACACTTGTTGATGGGCTCATCCTTTACATCAGCCTGTTGCTTACCTTTACAAGCTCCAATGGGCTCAGTCTCCCATAAAATGGTTGTAATAAGATGAATTTGTAATGCAATCTCTAGCTTCATCATATTCTTTTTTGTGTCTTTGCAGCATAAAAAAACATTTGGTTACTGATTGCACATAATAAACCAAATCGAGCTATTTCAGTTGCAAATTCTTCAAGTTGACCCAAATCAGTGCATTTATGTGTTGGCTTTGCATGTTGAGTCCATCTTACATTTATGCAATATTTGGGAATTTTGTCCATATCTTCAGATTTCATCATTGCAAATGCATGGGAGCCAGGAATTTCATCTTATTCAAGTTTCATGCAAGAACACACAATCGTATGTCTAGACTTACCAAAATGAACTTGCCAAGAACAAAAATTACACATGTACTCGGTGAAGGTATACAACTTCTCCGAGCCTCAGTCTACCACTGAAGTGATCCATAATAAGGCCTTTGTAGAGATCTTAGTGCGAACCTTCAAGAAAATATTTCTTATAAATATGCTTGATGCATGTCATTCCAAATTCTTGAGATGGGTAATCAAAATAGGAGATGACTAACTTGTGACATAGTCTTCCTCATGATCATTTTGTCTAATTTTTGCAAGAAACAAGTCAAACCGGTTCATGAATGGATAAAGCAACATTCAGTTTTTGAGGTATTTGTGTGTAGAAGTGTTCAATTGCTCTTATCTTTGTGTAGTATGCATACCAGCAAAGAAATGTCCCTTTAAAAATGTTTCACCCCATTTTTTCCTCTTTTTGTACAACTCAGCGATCCATGGATTATCTATCAAATTATGCTTCTCAATAATAAGCTGCCACCTTTTCTCAAACTCCTCAACGCTGCAAGTCATTTCCATTGCTATAGTAAAATCACACAAGAAATCCTTGTTTTTATTGATGCCAACATTTCTCTTTAGATGCCAACTACATAACTGATGATGGGCAAAAGGAATAGTCATATTCATTGCATTTTTCATTGCACTATCTCCATCAGTGGCAACTGAGATAGGTATCTTCATGTTCATTGCCTCTAAAAAAGATTCTAGAACCCACTTATACATGTCTTTGGTCTCATTGGCAATCACTGCGTAGCCAAAGATTATTGTTACAAAATGGTGATTCACACCAACCAAAAGAACTAGTGGTTTCTTGTAGGTGTTCGTGCAATAGGTGGAATCAAAGGCTAGAATGTCACCAAAATATTGATAATTCAACCGAGATTGTGCATTTGACAAAAATATTCTTTTTAATCGATTCTTTTTGTCAACGGCGTACTTATAAAAGAAATTTGGATCACTCTTTGCTCGTCCATCCAAATATGCCAAGGTACCGCAAGCATCGCCAACTCGCAGCACATTCCTTTGCACTTTGTACATAGCATTTCTTAGGTCCTTTTCTATAAATCCCATTTTATTATGCCCCCCACATTGGTGTGCTTGTAGATCAACTATTCAAGGAATTTGAATGCCAACTCTATACATCAATAATGCATGATTCAAGTCTAGTTTCTTCACAATCCTGTATGATCGAAGAAATTGTACAGTCTTGCTTTGCCAGTTCATGATTGTGTTCCCCAACAAAGAGGCCAATAGTGAACTTTCCAATACCTCTATTCCATAAAACTCCATGAGTTGCTAAACAACCAACTCTTGTTAGGCATTTAGCCTCTTTCTTGCGGTGCTCTAGATTCAACCACTTCTCGCTTTTAAAGCCCTCCTTATTGTAGACCCACCGTTTGTATTTCACTGTTCCATGCTTATCTTTCTGTTGATCACGGTCTCTAATATTGAAGCCGACCATTTTGCTATAACATGAGTAAAATTCCTTGGCATCTTCAATGGAATCAAATGTTAATAGTCTTCTGTCCTCAAAGGATAAGTTGTCAAGCCGATCAACAATAGCTCTCCAATTAATACTAGCTTCAGAGTTCAAGGATTTCTCAGATGACATCATAGGCCTATCATCTACATCAGCTGTCTTGTTTTGTTGTCCAACATGATGCAGAACTTACATTCATCACATCAGCAACAAAAACAAGGAATAATTGTCATTTTAAGTTTTTAATCCAGCTTCAACTGCATCCACCCTTGGTTTTTGTCTATTTGCATAACATTGAGTGACTAACTTCTACAGAAAAATTAGATGTGTACAACTTCCGCAACCTAAAATCCCAAATCAATTGAAACTTAATATAGTGAACAAGGATACTAACAAGCAAAATTAGACTTACTACAACTCAAAAGCATACACGGAGACCAAAAATTAATCTTGACGAGCATATCCGGGGAAATTCAAGACACAACAACCAAGAAATTGCTACAAGAGAAAACAAATTAAAGGTTGCTTTTTAACGAGATGGCAAGAGCCAGAGAACATAACCCTGAAACTCAAGACAAAAAATTGGGCATCTATTACTATAACCCAATTAATAAATTAAAGTACCAATAAGAACGATCAAAGTTGAGATTCAATCCAAAATTTTGAAGTTTCTCAATTCAAATCTCATTATATGTGAGTTTTTTTGTAATATTTTTTATTTATAATTTCTGCCATTTTTGTCGAATAATATGTTAATTGTATTACTCATATCACTGTGAGCTCCTTCTAATGTTATAAAAAAAATACTAGTAAATTAAAGTCGAACGGCTGCCAAGGTTGAAGGTAGTAATCTTTTTCAAACGGTAGCTTCAATATCGATGAAACACTGAATATATGAAAGGAAAGAATGAAAGCATGAGAAATACAATCTTGCATCTAGCCCGTCATCTTGCATCTTGCATCTGAACTCATAAGCTAGTAAGATTCAATCGAGATGGCATGATGAAATACTTACCTTAAAACATGATTTGCTCAGAAATTAGCTAAGTCGCAGGCTTTGCCGTTTCTAAATTTAGAGGGATCAGTTAGCCGGAAGGATGCTGCAACAGCTGGTGAAAGGAAAAGGGAGGGAGGATCGATGGAAACTTAGCACTTTCTCATTTTTTGGTCCAAGACCCGACCTTTTTACCCTTCTAAAAAGGCCCAATTCTCACCTTTAATTCTCAAAACCCAACCCATTTTCTTGAAAAACATTAAAGTTAGATGAGCAAGTAGTAATGTATTTTGATCACAGGGTAAATTGTGTTACAAAAATAGTAAGTTTGAATACCGATTTGGTAAGCATTAGTTTTGCCAAATTTACTACTTACTAGCACAAACTTACTATTTTATATGTGAAACTTACTCAAAGTTGGATTAGTAAATTTAAATACAATAATAGTAAGTTTTGAAAGACAAATGGTAAGTCTTACTAATAAAAGGTATTTTTTATAAGTGCCTAAAATTTACTACTTCATTGCACAAACTTACCAATATATTTGTGAAACTTACTTAAAGCTAGGCTAGTAAATTCTTTACAATTATAGTAAGTTTTGGAAGATAAATAGAAAGTTTGTGCATTGAAAAGGTAACTTATATGGATGACTAAAACTTACTGCGTTATTGTCCAAACTTACCATTTTACTTAAGAAAGTTATAGCAATTATAATTAGTAAGTTTAATTGAAATAATGGTAAGTTTTTGTTAACAAATGGTAAGTTTTACAAATAAAATGGTAAATTGGTGAATTGTCCAAACTTATTACTTTATTTCACGAACTTACCATTTTACTTAGGAAAGTTACAACAATTATAATTAGTAAGTTTAATTCAAATAATAGTAAGTTTTTGTCAAAAAATGATAAGTTTTACAAATAAAATGATAAATTGGTAACTTTACAAATTTACTGCTTCATTACACAAACTTACCAATATATTTGTGAAACTTACTTAAAGCTAGGTTAGTAAATTCTTTACATTATAGTAAGTTTTGAAAGATAAATAAAAAGTTTGTGCATTAAAAAGGTAACTTATATGGATGACTAAAACTTATTACTTTATTGTCCAAACTTACCATTTTAGTAGAAAAACTTACATACAGCTAGATTAGTAAGCTTAATGAGGTCACTAGTATGTTTTGTCAAATAAATGGTAAATTTGGCTTCTAAAAGGTAATTTTCGAAATTTACTATTTTATTGTACAAACTTATTGTTTTACTTGAAAAACTCACATACAACTAAACTAGTAAGTTTAATCAAAATAATAATAAGTTTTGATAGATAAATAGTAAATTTTACTAATAAAAATGACTTTTGAAATTTGCCACTTTGTTGGACAAATTTAGTAATTTACCTCAGAAACTTACCTATTGCTAGAGTGAGTAAGTTTGACAAAAAAAATATATAGTAAAATTCATTACATAAATGATAAGATTCAATATTAAAAAAGTAAATTTGTTAAGTACTTAAAACTTACTGTTTTACAAGATAATCTTACCGATTTAGCTGAAAAAGTTATATGTACCTTTGGATGCATTATTTAATTCACAAAAAAAGAGATGCAAAAAGTTGTAAACTGTCACAAAAGAAAATCGGATATTCTTCAAGTCAACTGCTATTATTTTATATTAAATCATATAATGATATTGATACCACATCACTATCCAAAGGGACAAAACATGTTAATTAACAGAAAACTATCACTTTTTCTCCAATAATTGAAATAAAGCACCATTTAAGTTGTCTACATGGTACTTATCATTTGCTTTATCCCCAACTCTATTTGATGTCCCTAAACTTTTGTCAGAATTCTCTTAGGGTGAAGCTGCTCCTCCCGAAGTGATTATGTTGAGTTCTTTCTTCACCTGACTTTGATCTGGGTAAATCATTTTGCTTGAACTTAAAAATACATTGTCATGTGTTAAGCAAATTTGTTAAACCCATGCTTTCAACAGGTAGATATGTAGGTACTTGCAGCCATAGTAAGATTAAAGATTGTGATTGCACCAGATACTTCATAGTAGTTATGAAGTTTTCTTTGGACCGAGCAAAGCATGCCTAGGATAGCTTTGAAGTGCCTGCTGGTTTTGGTATTGTGGATAAGGGGAATAATATTACTGTTTCTAAAAGAAATCAATCCACTGGGAGCAAAATTGCTACAGGCACGTAGAGATGGAAGCAGTCAATCTCCTCCTGAATGGCGGACAATTGGACTTTCAAGGCCTTGAGTTGCTGTTAAGCGTTCAAACTGCACACTTTATGTCATATGTGAACCGTGTATAACATGTGCTGCAGCCTTAATCATTTCTTGGTATTAAACAAGAGCATTATGGTTGGGTGAATGCTAAATTTAGAGGTCGTGGATCGATATTGTCATGGCATTCTGGTAGCTCCAAGACATCCACTGGTCCTGGAGATCAGTAGAGGAAGGATTTCAGGTGCCAATAAGGAATGATGGCATTAGAGGCCCTCTCTCTTTCGCAGACTTTCTATGCAGCAGGAATTATTAGGAGCCTCGTATACCACAAAAATTAGTTTAGAACTAAAAATTCTCATGTAAATGAATGTATATGCGCTTATTTTGGCTAATAAGCTGTTAAAATGGTACTGTAATCATATAGATTTGTGTTACAATTGGTTGCTTAGTTATGAAGTAATGCATTATGTTCTCTTGCTCTGTAATCACCTTCTAGAATCTGCCTTTTGTAGATCTCATGTGACATTTGTAGCTAAATAGTTTAAAAGCTAAAACTGTTGCGGAAGCTCTACCAAATTAAGGTATAACGAGTAAATTATTGTACCTAAAATTGCAAAATGGTAATTCCCACGAAATATTTGGTGAGGCACACTGGCCTGCTTAAGTACCAATTTCCTAGACAGAATCACCTATATATGCAATTAATTGCACAATAACTCACTACAAATATACCTACAAATATAGCTACTAAATAGACAATAAAATAGAACACCAAAATTTAACGAGATTCGGCTAATTTGCTTACGTTTTCGGACACTACCGACAACTTAATATTTCACTAGAAGAAATATTTCAAATAGAGAAAAGGAATCAAGTTATAAAGCTCTTGCTTGGTGTACCTCAATTGAGAAGAGAGGTTGTTAATTTATAACTAACAACAACTTTTCCTCAAGGCTAATCAACCGATGTAAGATTTGAAATTTGTGCACAATTGTCAACAATTGTAGCTTTGCACAATCAACAATTGTGGCTATTAAGCCAATAAGTCAACAAATCTCCACCTTGGCGAAATCTCTACATCTTCAATGCTTCACTCTTCTCCCAACATTCGGTGATGTCTTTAAATGCGTTATCATGCGCCAATCTTCAAGTTGTGCACAATATTTACCAAATTCAAACAATGCTGAAATTTGATAGTTGTTACAACCTTCGTAAGCATATCAGCAGGATTCTCCTTGGTCTGAATTTTTTGAAGTAGTATCGTACTATCTTCCAAAATCTTCCTCACAAAATGATACCGTACATCGATATGTTTCGTCCTTGCATGATAAACCTGGTTCTTTGCTAAATGAATAGCACTCTGACTATCACAATGAATTTTGATAGACTTCTGTCCGATTCCCAATTCATTAAGCAACCCATGAAGCCAAATTACTTCCTTAACAGCATCCGTAACTGCCATATACTCCGCCTCTGTAGTAGACAAAGCAATCGTTGAGTGTAAGATAGATATCCAACTGACTGGTGTCTTAGCAAGTGTAAACACATACCCAGTCGTTGATTGACGTGTATCTTGATCACCTGCGTTAGGGGTGTGCAAAGTCGAAAAATTTCGATTTCGAAATCGATTTCGGATTGAATTCGGAATTTCGATAATTCGGAAGTGAATTCGGTAATTCCGATTTCGAATTGATCGAAATCGGGTCGAATTCAAAAACATAATTTTTGAAATCGGTGATTCCGATTTTGAATTGAAAAAAATAAAAAATTCTGAAAATACAAAAATGCTGTCTCCGCCTCACCACCGTCAGCTCACGAGGCCCCAGTCCCCGCGTTCGTTGAGTTAAGACTTGAGAGACTAGCAGCAGCAGTAGCAGTAGCCGCAGCCTATGATTACT